CCCCAAAACCCCAAAACCCCTTAACTTGAATAGTACTAATTTTAAAAAATCAAAAATTAAAATTAAGCAAAAATGTTCATATTGATCGAGACTTATAATAAAGCGCAGCATATCCAACTAGGAAAAATATTACTATAAAACTTGCTAAAACTGCATAGCAGGTACCCTCGCCATAGGTATAAGTATAATATTCCAAAGCTATATCCTTAGCTGGATTAGTATCAAGTAGTCTTCTAAGTTAAATTTCATTGGCATACCTAAATGGACTAATATAGCTGAGAAATTTAATCACAAAATTAGCATTCTTTAGATTGGTGAACACTCCAGCTCCCATATCATAAATAATAACAGTGTACATCATCATGATTATCCCTGTCTAATCAGAATCAAAGATACATCCCATCATGAATCCGTAACTTGAACCTATAAGAGTCTCCATTAGCAAAACTAATATCCATCTAAACAAGTTATCAGCTGATTAGTTCATTGGTTTGATAAAATAGAATGTTCCAAAACCAACTATGAATGGATAAAAAAGCAGCATAGTAATTGAACTAATAAACACTGATAAATAGTATGCATGAACTGAATATAGCCCACTAGCTTTTTCTCTATAATAAACTGGATTCAATAATGGTATCTGTAAGATTTAAGCCATTCCGATTGAGATGAATGGATCAGACACGCCAAAAAATACGAATCCAGCCCAATTGCCTAAAGTTCTATAATTTGCATCGTAATCTGTGAGGGATAATTATTTTTGTCCAATATCATGAAACAGTGCTGATTACAGGATAATCATAAATATTGAAATGAATAAGCATCCATATACTGTCCTAGGATTTCTTAAAAGATAAGTGAATTGTCTTATTAATAAATAACTTAATTGCTGTTAGAATGTGATTTTCCTATCGATACCTATGACTGAGAACCTTCTATTTAGGCCTGTCTAATGTTGATATTTATCTGGTATAGAGTAAGAGTTTACTGCTTGATTTTAAAGTGACTCAGCAGAGAGATCTTTTCTTATCAATGATGGATCAATAGCCAATCTAATTAAAAAATCTGCAGGATTGGTAAATTTGGGGAATTTCACTCCTATATTTTAGAAGTATTGCTAAATTTCGCTTGCTTATCCATTGAATACAGTGTAGCCATCTGAAAGAGCCAGGATTCTATTGAATAAATTATAGATAGCAGAGGATGGCTGATGGATTGTACATATAACTGTCATGCCTCTCTGAGTTTCTCTTTTAAGGAGTTGGATAATTTGAAGAGCAGTCGATGAATCAAGACCACTAGTGGGCTCATCTAAGATTAATAGATTAGGGTTAGTGATTAGTTCATATCCGATTGATGTTCTCTTCTTTTCTCCACCAGAAAGTCCTTTCATTAGAATACCTCCAACATATGTATTTTGACAGCTTTAAAGCCTTAGTCTCTTTATTATATCTTCAACTCTCGATTTTTATTTCTCAATTGCCAAATTAGTTCTCATTTTAGCTGCAAACGTCAAAAGTTAGAATGGTGTAAATGTCATTAACAATACGTCATCTTACTAGACAAATGCACCAAACTTTCCAAAATCTGATTTTTCAATCTCCCTTTTATTCGCTTGCAAATTTCCATCTATCGAGCTTCCATAACTTAAGTTTTGTCTCTGACTTAGTATATTCAGCAATGATGTCTTTCCACTACCACTTGGACCCATAATTGCCAAGATCTCTCCTGGACAAGCATGTCCTGTGCAATCTTTCAAAATTCTCTTCATATTTCTACCCTTTACTTAGACATATTCCTCAACCAAGTGATGGTTTTTATCTTCATCTTTCAGAAGCACCTCCTACTTTCCTGATTCTTCTAGATCTCGAAATTTAGACTCCTCTTTTGAGGTTTGAAATTTAGATTTACTTTTTGCTGGAACATAAAAGTTAATATTTTTCCATTCGATAAATATTTTCTCTTGCTCAAACTGATCATCACTTGATTCCTAAGATTTTGAATTCATTAAATTTTCTATGTCTCCAGTAGCATCTCTTCCCGTAAACTCAAGATCATCTCTTTAATTAGCCGAATCGTCTTATATCATTCAATGCTTATTTTGATTTCACGAAAATATCTAATGATTAATAATCTTTAAGCTAAGCTCCACTTTTAAAATAATTATTTAGATATATGATAATGACAAATTATTTAATGGTTCTCGAAGATTATTAATTCAACAAAAATATGACGAAATCATACCGAAAATTAACCACGGGGTTTTGGGGTTTTGGGGTTTTGGGG